AAAGGAAACATCGTAACAGTTTGTTACACCGCAATAAAATGACCAAACAGCAGCAAGGCCGGTGCCTTGACACGCGAGGCTCTAATTCCTTGGACACGGTGATTTTAGAGTTCCTTGAAGCTTCAATGACGGAACCCAGTTAAGAATTATAATATACATTTAGCTACTTGCAGCGAATATTCGGTTATTATTCGGTATCACCATAGTAGTCGATCGAATACCGAATATTTAAGTTAACTCGACTCGATAAGGGAAAATGTGAATTAATTAATTAATTAAATATTATATTCACGTTTTCAGTTCTATTACTATATTTGAGGTAATAACTTATAATAGGGATTAAAATTATGATCGTATTGAACATTTACAAGCATACAGTTTAATTTATTTTCTAAGATTATAATTTGTATATAAAACAAGTACATAATCAAAATATATAATAGTAAAGTAACTCATCTACATTTTAGAAGTAATTAGATTTCTTTTTTCTCGTTGACAACAACATCTGTTTAAATTGCGCTAAAATCTGACCAAATAATCGGTATACTACCGAATATATTATTCGTTACAAGGCTATACATCATTCCAACGTAGGTCTTAAAAGATACATTATAGTTTCATTAAGTATCTGAAAAGCCCTGTTCAATACCGCGATTAGCAAGTAGCAAAGTTAAAAATGCCTATTGTTCCTTTTAAAATTATTTTTAATTAGAGCAGCAGGGTAATTTTTCTCTTGTTAGTAACTTTAAAGTACAGAACGCTATTTCGCATATAATCTTTTATTTGTTTATTTATTATTTTTAAGTGTTTTACTTCGATGTAAATGTTCGTGCAAAAAATAATTTCAGAATTCTTAACAATCAGGAATCGAATCCAAAAGCGATGAACACAATATAAAATATTTTTCAATAATCAACGAAACATTACTAAGGTCAAAGGTTTTGAGTGGGCGTAGATGAGTATATAGCACATTGAATATGCTAAAAATACTGTACGGAACCCTGTTCGCGTAAAAGCCGGATTGTTATTTGAATATAATAACGTCTTAATAAAACAATATGCTGATGAGGTAGTAAGCGTCTTGGGCTACTCTTGAAATTAATACCAGTTCCAAGCGTGTAGTTCAGGTATTAAAGGATAGCTTTGCTCTAACTTGAGAATGTGTTATAATTCTAGAGATATCAGTTATGGGCAGAGCTGATAAAGAACTCACCTAAAAACCAAGGATCACTAAGGAGATCTAATACGACGCTGTTGCCCTTTTTTGGGTTTGAACATACAGAAATCCACAGATTTTCATCGATATTCCCACCATCCATTTTAGTAACAGATTTTCCAAGTAAAGTCTAATGTGTTAAAGATAGGTAAAAATGGTTTCAAAAAGAATAGTTAATTTTTACTAATCATCTTGTTTTTGCAGCAGTTTATCTTATTAATTCCGAGAGTAGCCCCGCTGTTTAATATGTAAATTAACACAAGATCCTATTAAGGAAAATCCTATCAATGTAGATCTAATACAATAAAAAAAAAAAAAAAAAAAAAAAAAAAAAAGGAAAGGGGGGGGGACCCCCCCCCCCCCCCCCCCCCCCGGGGGGGGGGGGGGGCGGGGGGGGGGGGGGGGGGGGGGGGGGGGGGCCCCCCCCGGGCCTCTGTGCAAAACAAATTTCAATAATAGTCTTACCAAACCGTATTATGTAATCTAAATGAAAATTAAATAATAAAAGATTACAGACGAAAAGCTGTTTTCCAAGATCCTTTTGTTCGTCATGCCTTGATGGTTACCTAGTCGCAATTCACTTTTTAGCGTTGACCTGGGTTCCAATGCTGGTGCATCTCAAGATATAGTATGATCTAGACTACAGATGATATCGCTGATTACGTTATGTAAAAATATGGGTGTTAAGGGACACCGCATTGTGAACTCCGAGATCGTTTAAAGCCCAAAGTTCCCCACTGTAGCAGTGTGGTCTGATCTCTTCAACCCATATTTATAAGTAGAGATTGTCATGATAAGTCGAAAATCAAAAATAGCTTAATATTTATATTCTCTTTTGCCATATTTTTTCTGTGGTCGGCAATACTGCCACAGATTATGATATTTTTTTACGATAGTAGGCCTTATTAAAGCGCGTTATATCGGGTAAAGCTTCCGTTCTAGTTTACAAAGGTGAGCTAATTGCTATTTGTATCGTAGTCGGGGGTGTGCGGTGACCTCTGACACTCTTGATATAGATTTTAACCAATCTATTATTTTCAAGTTTTTCGAAGTATGAATCTTGCACTTCCCACATAACTTCAACGACTGATCTATAGGGAAATCCGACTGCCAACCGACATCACCAAAACTAGTAATTAAGCGTTGTCAATTTATGCTAATATTATAAGCTGAAGAGTTTGTTTGTTTAAACGTGCTAATCTCAGGAACGACTGGTTTGAAATTATCCTTATTAAGGCAGGCTTTACGTTATTTAGCATCACGCTACCAATAGGAGCAAAATAATAGTGGAATATGTTGTAAAAACAGGGAAAATTATATCTGTGAGGGCTGAATATGTAATATATCTGATAATCTTAAACGGTTAAGCTAAATATAGGTATCATAGCATTCCTCTTTATAAGATCAAAAAAAATGTCGGCGACAGTATATGTCTTGAAAAGAAAGACGATAACTTGCAAGAACAACGGGACACGGTTGATATCCGGCAAGACAGTGCCTTTGCATTCGACCTTTTCAAACCCAGGACTTTACAGGCTTAACAAATCAAACACTGTGTCACAGAGGCGGATCTTGGAAGTCCCATAAAAAATAGGACTTCGTAAAGCGTGAAAGACACCATCTATTAATGATAAATTTTCCTCACTTTGACACCCTCGTTTAAATGACAGCTATGCATGATTTCCACCGAAGTCTCACGTGGACTCAGTTTGTCTAAATGTGGAAATCGGTATATTAAACGGGTGGTAGAAATAATGAAACTACGTCCGGGTCACGAACCACCGTCCAAAAATAGAAGAGTCGTAAAGTATAATTGCGTTTGGGTTTCAGGCTGTGAATTTCTAACTTCTGATGAAAGCTAAATAGGTCGACAACACATCTTTACTCCTAAATATTGCTGGGGTTGGTGAAATACCCATCAAGTAAACATCACGCTTGTGTTCATGCAGTCATAGAAAACAAACCACCGCAATAGTGAGTAACTTTGTTTTATAATGCCACTTGCGATAGGTTATCTCGAAAACCACAACAGATATTCGTTAATTAGGCTAATGAACTCAATTTCCCTGAAGCTAAAATTCTTTAACCACTTTGTTAAGCTATTGACCCCATGATAAGAGGTAAAAAAATTACTTAGTAGTCCACATATGGCAGAGCAGGACAGATAGGGGGTTCACTTCATGGAGGAAATACCCCGGCTATATAACATTAATAAGATGCGCTATCGACCTTTTTTAGCTTTATATTACTAAAATCGCGATTACACTTTACGACTTTTCCAGCTGTGGTCAGTGAATCGTGTCTCGAATGGAATTTCATTATCCCTCCCATCCATTTTATATCCAGAACTTCCAGAGGAAGTCTAACATAATTAGGAAAAAATTGATTTTAGAAACAAATTGGATCTGGTGGAAATTGAAACCACAGCCCATTGATAATTCCTACTAACCTTTATAAACAAGCCCATCAAAGTATCTACTTTGCTTGTACTTCCAAAGAAAAAACTGCATTAAAAAAGAAATAATATCAGATGTTTGCTTTCAAATGTGATAGCGAAATCATTTTCATATTCAAGTACATGTGATAAGCAATCCACACAGTTTTAGAAGTCGATCAGACTTCCCTGCCCCAAACCAACCGAATAATGCTTCCCTGGGCTTCTGACACAAGCCTATTGTATTAAACATAATGATAGGCAAACTGCCTATTGAGCAACGGTCAGCCTACAATATTGTATAATAGTACAAATATCATAAGTAGGTATAGTACACATCACGCAATGAAGACCAATATTTATCCTTCTAATCATGTTGTGTGGTTATAAATAATTTGCAATCTATTTAAATATTTTGAAAATTCTTGTGTCAATAGAACCAAGCCTTTAATTATATACATTTTTAATATACTCCTATTGAGGCTGGTACTAGATGCAGATACAATAAAGTTTGGATGAAAACTTTTTGTATTCACAAAAGTTGTTTAAAAAAACTGAAAGCTATTAAAACAGCAGAATGTGAAGTAATTTAAATATGATAAATACCATGCTATAAAATTCCATCATAAACCTACCATAAATATATGTATTTAACCTTAATCACTTACTTCATACACAATATGCCTTTTATAAATAAACAAGTACATAGCTTTAAAGTTTCTTCTTACATATATTTCTAATATGCTCTCTCTGATTTAGAATCTAAATAATATAGGGTATAACTTACCTATACTAAAAAAAGATAATTGTGAATAACTGAAGTCTTAGACAATAAAATGTAATCATAAGATAGGTAATTAGCAATTAAATAATATTACAAAAGTGTGAGTATAATCACTGTCAAGGACAAATTCAGATTTGTAATTACAGTTATTGTTTACTAGTGAAAAATAAGGAAATATTACTTTGTTTTAACATTGTAGGTATCTTTTTTAGGTGTTCTGAAATTCGGAAAGGAAGGAGGACCAGCGATATTATTTGATAAGATATGAGCACAAATTATATTTCAGAAGAGAAGATCCCTTCCGCAGAATTAAATAATTGGCAGTATGTTGTGTAATCCAATCCAACATGGAAATTATGGCAATTCTATTTAAGCGATGGATCTTACTCTCTTATAGTAAGTACATTTTTGATTACTCAGGTATTACATTTGACATTGACTGATATATGATAAATTGATAAACAAACAGATAAAACAAAACACAGTGCACTCATGATAAGAGATTCAACATTGATTATGTTATAAATATTCCTATTTCTCTGTTATATATATTTTAATTAACTTACCTTGAACGAACTGTGCACCAGCGTCTCATCAAGATCTATCACCATACATTTTTTGTGCATGTCCTGATGTCTCACTGGTGGCAGTAATGGTCGTGGGGCATGGTCCGACATAACGAGGAGCGGGGGCGAAGCCCTACCATCGATGCTGTTAGTTCCATTGCCGCTGGGCGGGCCCTTGCCTCGACCGCCACGCCAACAACACAGTAATGATCTGAGAAAACCACCGGTGCCACTGGATTTTTTCGTGCCAATAGGGGTGGACCCCGATACTGGTGTTCCATCGCCCTCATGCTGCCCTGCCACAGTTCCTAAAAGAATTATTACTTGTTATCTGGAGATCACGACACACGCGGAAGTAATCTCCTTTAATTCGTGTGGGATTGGTTTGAGACATGGCTTCAAGGTTGCTCAGTATTATAGCAACATGTCCCAATTGTTTACCTCTGAATACACTATCACAATAAACACTTCACAATCATATATAACTTCGCGATCTTTACTCGACAACATAGTTACATTAAACCACGCACTAAAAACCGCCAAGTGGTAACATTATACTCTCCAATTTGATGCAAGTAGGTAACAGGTGTAACTTTGGATTTTACCTCTATCAGATCCATAGTTGTTTAACTGCTCGTCATCCCGTGACACCTGAGTTATTATGGACGAAGCGTCCATTTAAACATTTGTTATGGGCCCTAATAGAAACGGCAAAGGGGCTTTTAATAAATTTTAAAACCATAAAACTATTTTTTATCTCCCTTCTAACTTACAAAATGGCAGGCAGAATCTGGTCAAATACCAACTTGAAGTGTAACCAATATGATGACAAAATATCTAGTATCTCTTTCTCAAACACGTTCAATCAGTTTGTAAGAAAGAGAAAAACTATAATCAGTTACTTTGTCTTCAGTGTCAATTGTCATTTGTGAAATAATAACGCTAAAAATAGTCTCAGGGTTGGCAGTATTCAATATTATTTTGAAGTTTTATTTTTTAATTGTCACAGCATTAAATAGGCACACAGTTTATAAAACAACGTATATTCTGTGATTATTTTGACAATTTACAGTTAGTGATAAAGGTTAATTTTTAGTTTATGTCAAAAAACAACGAATGTAGATAATTTATATTTACATTGCGATCAAGGCGAAATCATATTATATAGGATTTTATTTATGATCATTTTGTTTTTAAGAAAACAGTGTGTACTGTATAAAGAGCGAGCAATGAGAACTACACATTAATTATAAATTTAGGACCTTTTGTCCTTACTTTCATCCTGCTGGATAACGCCACGACACCTCGTAAATAAGCTGAGTTTTGTTTAATTTTTCCACTCGAAAATGTCGAACCACGATCCAGGACCTATACCAAATCGCTGGTTGAACTGTCCAAGGAAATCTTCCGGGCTGATAGCTGAAAAATTCATTGCATTCAAAACACCACTGGGCTCACAGTTCAATGACAAAGTACCAGAAACCAATCGTTTTACACCATCAATGCTTTTCAGTTACATGAAAAGCTTTAAAGTATGTTATATATTTATGAAATACTTTATTACTAAGTTTTAATATACCTATGATCTTTATAAATGTTACTTTCAGTTGAAACTAGGCCTTTGGATTGATCTAACGAACACTAGTAGATTTTACGACAAGAAAGAAATCGAAAAAATGGATTGTAAATACATAAAGATGGCATGTCGTGGCCATGGTGAAACACCTTCAATAGAACAGACAAGGTTTTTATAATTACTCATAATAGATTTCAAAAAGCTGTAGTTTTCACCAAAAACTTACTTTCTGAATTATATGCCTCTCTACATCAGTCACCTTAAACAAGATACATATATTTTCTTATTTTCCAGAGAGTTTATAAAAGTTGTCTCCAACTTTATTGCACAGAATCCATTATCAGTTGTTGGAGTCCACTGTACCCATGGATTTAACAGAACTGGCTTCCTCTTGACTTCATATATGGTGGAACAATTGGATTGGAGTATAGATGCCGCTCTTAAAGCCTTTGCAAATGAAAGGTAATTATTTTGTGTATTGACTGTTGTTGTGTATTTATTATTATTTTTTTCTTTATTTAACCTGCATAATGAAATACTCACTACTATATAATTTGTGTTATGGAATTTGAGTATTTAATGATCATATTTGATAATTCATTCATATTCTCAATATCGTATGACTACTATATGATATTGAGAATATGATTAATTAATTATGTCTAAGATTTAGTGAATATGGTTCTCTACAGACAAAGTCCATGACAAATCTGGTATCTTCTGTATTTTTTTCAAGTTCTGAACCTAGAACGTTTCACAAAAACTAGTTATTAGATCAAGAAATAGTAGCGTACTATACAGCACGGTACTGAAAACATTATACTCATGTACCCTGAGCCGCCTCTGTAGCCAAATGGTTAAACATATTGGCTAGCGTTGTGTTAAGCGCTATAGGTCCTGGGTTTGAAACCAAGGAGAACAAACAATTGTTTTGGTCGGGCAGGGTACAGAGGTCTGATGTACCATTAGCCTATTAAAGAACAGATCAGGGAAACGGACACAAAAATGTGTTTGCCACGAGGGGGAGACAGGATTTCACATTTTCACACCTGATGTTTGGTCCATTTTTTCATATTATTACTTAATGCTTAATAGGCCGCCAGGGATTTACAAACCAGATTACTTACTTGAGTTGTATAAACGATATGACGATGAAAGTATGACCCCTGAAGCTCCAATGAGACCTGATTGGTGTAATGGTAAGAAAAGTTCTTTTTAAATCATACAAATTTCTCATTTTAATATCATTTTCTAATTTAGATAAAATTTTAAATTTTTTTCTCAAATTATTGTTAATATATTAGTCCGTTATTTAAAACTAACATCCTGATTTTGGTGCCAATCCACCTTGGACCAATCAATCTTGGACATTAAACAATTTAAAATGAACGAACCATTTTCTTGTTTGCCTTCTTATATGTTTTTTTTCTTCAAAAAATAGAAGACGAAGAACTTGACTACGATGATGATGACGCTCCAAGCTTTTCTCAAAATCTAAATTCTCAAGAAATAGGCCCGCCAAAGTAAGTTAATAACTGCCTACATATTACATTGATGGATTGCTTACATATTTCTGTATTTGTGAACGACAAAATTTTTTGTTTAGTGCTAGAAATCTTTAGCCAAATGCCTATATATGTTGCCTAGCATTGCGTTCTGCGCGAGGTTCATATCCCAGGGAAACAGCAGATTGTTTCAATCAGGCAAGGGGCAGAAGTCTGATCTCAGCTGATACTGCATATTCAGATGACTGCTAATCGACTTAACTTAACAGTATGATAAAAGTAGATCAAGTACTTGCCTGTAAATAAAACCTATCAGTGAAATAAACACCGAAATTTGTGGATTTCCCAATTGAAGTTCTGTTCCTTCTAGCATTAAGCAAAACTTCTTAAAAAGTTTGTTAATCTCAGGGCCAAAAAACGCCGAAAAGAAAGGAAGATCAAAAAAGATATATTTATGCCGGGCGTTAATAACGTGGAGCCATTTGATGAGGAGCCACGCCTAGGTGAGGTACAAAGAAAAGCTCAAGAATTCTGCAAGTGGAAAAGTTCGGGATTCCCTGGGTCGCAGCCAGTGTCCATGGACGTTGTGAATATTAAGAAACTGCAAGAGAAACCGTATCGAGTGTCTTGGAAAGCGGATGGTGTGAGGTGAGATTTTTGTTGCCATCATGTAACCTTCCATCAAGTGGAGGCTAAGCTTGTCTATCCTCCTCTATCTAAATGGCGAATGGGTAAAACAGTCTCCAACAGAAAATAATAATCGGCCTCTATCAGAAAAAATATATTGCTAGATCCTAAAATCTAAGAGAAGACTTTGTCTTTTTCTCTTTGAACTAACTCAAAACTTTTCATATATGTATTTAAAATCAAGAGAATTGATTGGTCAGTTAGAACTCACTAGTTTAAAACTCAAAATGTATCCTATTAAATGTGTACTACTTGCATAAACTACAGACAAAACTTTGTTTTATATGGATTTCTCAAACTTAAAAATCGATTATAAATTAAAAAAAAAGTACTTGAATACTGTCTATAGTTTACGCGAGTAGTACACATTTAAATAAAACACTTTAACGGTTTAAAACCCTTTCCCGTGACCACGGCTGCTGCAAAGCATCCGAAACGTCGGGCCGAAGTTAAAAATCCTTTTCAAATTAGTTAAACTAATATATCGCGTTATAAACCGTTAAAGTGTTTTATTTAAAAAAAGTACTTGAACCGAGACCTACAGCGTGCTGTTGTTAACCAATTGAACTACCGTGTCCTACACGTCATCGTCGATTTTTTTTCTACCACATTGATACATACAACTCTTGCGCTACTCTCTACCTTGCGGATTAACCTTATCAAACTTTCCAGATTCATGATGCTCATAGATGGTGAAGACGAAGTCTACATGATTGACCGGGACAACTGCGTTTTTAAAGTGCATGGTCTACGCTTTCCACACAACAAGGCGAATCGACACCTTCGGGACACATTATTAGATGGTGTAAGTTATATCCCACCAAAAACATAAATGTAGGGAGAGTCAAGTTGAAAAGAAAAATTGTACTTGGCTTCGCCTTAAAAAGACTGGAGATCTAAATGTGTGCCAAGTTGCAAAATCTAAGTATGTACTTATAGGAATAGAATAATATTATGAACTAGTAATACACTCTATTTCTACTGTATAGGATATGTACAATAGTTGCTGTTATTATTAAAAATCTTGAAATTAATAAAGCACTTTAACGGTTTAAAACGCGATGTACATTAGTTCCGATGTTTCAGAGGCTTTGCAGCAGTCGTAGTTATGGGGGAGACTGCAGTAAAAATTTTCAAATAAGTTCAACTTACATTTGTGTATGGTATTTTAAACCATTAAATTGTATATAAATAGTATCTTAAAGTAATTTACATTTGATATTTTAGACTACATTTTTTGTTGGACAAAAAATGTTCACTTGCCATAAGTGTTCTACATAATTTATTATTATAATCCGTTTCAGTTAATATATGTGTTACGTCGACAGTTATCATATAAATATTCTTAAGGAAACGTTTTAAAATTGTCGTTCTCAATTTGTTTTTTTTTTCATGTTTTAGGAGATGGTAGTCGATAAAGTGGACGGAATGGAAATTCACAGATACCTATGCTACGATATAATCCGTTTCGAGAACCAAAATGTTGGCAGGGAGGCTTTCTATCCTGTCAGATTGGATTGTATACGTAATGAGATTATCAATCCCAGGTAACAATGAGATCTTTTAAATATGGATACGCGCTGGTTAAATGCTAATACTTTTGCAAACCAAGTAACTATTTGCTAAGGAAAATTTAACGACTAATAAAAAATAAAACTTAAAGATAAATAAGGCCTCGCAGAATGGGCTATTGGGCAATGCGAAAAATATAGCGTTACTCTTATCAGTAATGAGTATAAGTTCAGAAATGGTAATACAGTCACATTGCGCTTTAAACCGTTAAAAGTGTGTTGTTGCCATTTGCACTTAACGGTTTAAAACCCGAAATGTATATTTACCTTTTTTACAATTTTACGACCCGCCGTTTTGTCCCCACGTGATCGCGGCTGCTGCAAAGCATCTAAAATAAGGCCGTAGTTAAAGTAAACTTTAAATAAGTCAATACACTTTGCGTTTGAAATTGCTAGTGTTTTATTTATTGTGTATTTTTTTTTAAATCTAACCAGGAACCGAGCTATAAGCGAAGGCATAATAAATAAGGAGGCGGAACCGTTCCGCGTGGTGAACAAAGAGTTCTGGGACGTGACCATGGCAGAGCGGCTGCTGATGGACAAGTTTGCGCGCACGCTGCACCACGAACCTGACGGCCTCATCTTTCAGCCTTCGAGGGCGGTTAGTATTGCTTTTCTATTGTTCGTTTTAAATAGATGTACGTAAGAGGTGGTATCCTAAAAACTTTGGCGATCGCCCTAATGAACTTGACGCTTACTATACAGTATTTTAAAATATTATAATTTTGATGTATATGATAGGCTTTTTTACTGATTTTTAAAATGTAATTTATATTATTTAGGAAAAGTAGTATTTTTAATTCTGTTAAATATTTACTGAAATGTAAAAAAATAAAATCTAAGAACTAAATTGCGCACCTAAAAGCTAACGCTGCAACACGGCTAGTGACGTCACGACCTAATATCAGCCAGTCGATCATAAAATCTACACTCTACTAAACTACTACTCTATTTAAACAGTGATTTAAGTAATAAAATGAGTTACAAATTTATTTATTTATTAATGCACAACAGAACAGGCCCACTAGGGAGAGGGAAAAGGTTTATAGCACTGCTTATAAGAAAGTGACGTCATCATAAACCCAACCAATCAGGAGCGTTTTGTGTCACGTGACAAATGTTTGTTGCGGATTTTTTATATGTAATAATTGTTATTTTTAACATATTTACATAATTGAGACTATATTTTTCACATTTTCAAATAGCCCATTAGTTAGAGCCTTTCTGGATCTTTTTGGTTGCTGCCACAACCAAAAAAAGTCACTTATAAGCAAATTGTTTCTGTCCGAATAGGAGCAGAGATCTGACCTCGTGAGTAATTAACACAACAATATATCACTTTTTATATATGTAGAGGAAGGATTTAAATTAATAGAAAAACAGGTACTTTTGCTAAAGTTTTAATCTCTAATATTTCAGCCCTACGTCGCAGGTGCGTGCGAGGATGTACTCAAATGGAAGCCTAGCGAATTAAACAGCGTAGATTTCAAATTAAAAATCGTTACGGAAGACGGCCAGGGGTATGATCATCTCAACATAAATACTCTCTGCGGTTAACACACCTAGTACACAATTAAAACCTTTATAACGGTTTATAACGCAATATTACCTTTATTCAACTACGATCTCGTAGCTACAGCAAAGTATGCAAAAACTTTGAGTCCTAGTTAACCTTAAGTCATCTAATATATTTCGTGATTAAAACCGTTGAAGATGTTTAGTAGTTAGGTCTTAAGACTATATCGCAATTATTTAAGCAATTTTTCATGTTAAACACCACAACCATCTGAAAACGATACTTTCGACCTGAAATATGTTTTTATTAAATTGCTTACATTTTATAACAGTATATGTATATAATTGCATGTAGAATGGTGAAGAAAAAAGTCGGTCACCTATACGTGGGGCAGAGGCCTATGCCGCTAGCAACAATGCGCGTGACCAAAGCTATCAAACATCTCGATAACAAGATAATTGAGTGCAAATTTCAAGACAACGAATGGGTTTTCATGCGCGAGCGCACGGACAAGAGTTACCCGAATAGTTACAACACAGCTACGGGTACGTATAAGATATTGTTTCATCTTGGGTTCAATTTCTGCCCGGCATGATTAGATTCGGACATAGATGGCATACAAATGGAGATAGATGGTCCATGTGGATCATGTTTTTTTCTTTTGGACCGGCGGGCATCAAGGTCACAAAAATTAAAAATCCTTAAAAGTATCGTATTTAGTTTACGTGTGCAGTTTAAATAACACTGTATAAAAAAACAAATTTTACTAATTAATGTTTTAATTTAACTATGGTCCGACGTTTCGAAAGCATTGCAGCAGGAGGTGGAGTCAAAGCTAATCTGCTAGCGCCATCTGTTTTGTCTTAGTTTTATGGTTGGTAGTAAACGTCGAACGGTATTCAAATTAAATTAAAAATAATCTAACTAATATATTTCGTTATGTCTATTAAACCTTGAAATGTCAATTTATCAATGATCAATGATATACCCTTTAAATCATTTTTTCTTGATATAAATTCATTGTCTCCAATCATAGGAATCAGTGATTTTTATTTTTTTTTCCAGCCGTCTGCAACAGCATAAGTAATCCAGTGACAAAGGATATGCTGCTGAGTTTCATACGCAAGCGCCGGTTCATTGACAAATCAGATGGAATGCCTCCGCCGCCCATGAGACGTTAACCGAAAAACTACGACTCATTTAGTTTTAGGTTACATTAATAGTCACACGATTGATACAGAAGCCTCTACTATCATGAGAGTAAAGGGGGGGACGCAGCTAACTAAGGAATTATCCTTTATTTGTAGATGTAATACAAGACTGTAAAATTGCCATTTATTTAGATAAATGTCAATTCATAGACATTTTTTTATTATAAAATGGCGACTGACAAACACACTCACTGTAAATCCAAAAACAAAAAAGTTTACCCGAAGCCCAGACGCCAGTCAATTGATTTCATTGGATCATTGAATCAATGCCTTTACTCGGCCACGAGGAAGGCCATTTCTGACGTGAGCTCCCCCCAACCCCTAGGAACCCCCGACCTAGGAACAAAATAAGAAAATAGTATATTTATGTCAAACTCAAATTTATTAATACTTATTTATAGAAAACAATTTTAACCTTAGTTTTGAAACCTCATGTGATTTTATTTGGATTGTTTTAGTACGGTTATACTCTGTAATACTGAATACAGGGGGAAGGAATATCGTCCTATGACATCAATGTTTTGTCTCTGTCACACTACTGTAAATTAGTACCTGTTAAAAAGAGATGAGAGCTGGAGTGGGCACTTTAGGTTATTAGTAGGGCAGATAAGATAAGTGAAAAAACCTATGTTTGTAATGGACGAAAAATACAGATATAAAATAATGACAATGTAATTTTAAAATTTCTACCTTTCGTTAAACACATACGTATTACTGTTACTTACAGACCAAATTTCATGTCCCTTGCCTTTGTTTCTCCTGTAATATATATTTTTGATATTTGTTCATATGTGTTAACGATGCAGCTGTATTTTTTAGGCCTAATTTGGCCTTTATCAATAAAACATAAAAGCCGTTGGCAACACATAAACTGTTGGTTATTTTTATTATCTTTACAATATACACCGCCATACTCGTCTCTTTAGTATTTCAGTTGTGTACTGTTAAGATCGTTTTAATTTGTTGTCTCTCGTTAAGATCGTTTTAATTATATGTCACTAAAATATATTTGCTGTATTGATTTCTTACTCGACTACAAACACTTCAGTTGAAAGCTTTATTTATAAAAAAAAAAATCGGCCACGGCCGAATAGTGTTATTAGAGCGAACCAATTTAATAATGTTTTCTATTTATTGAAGTGCTAACCATTTCTCCATCCCCTCTTCATGGAGTAAATTAGGTTATTCAACTCTGACTGTGTATATCTGTTTACGTATATATATCACTAGCTGTGCCAGCGACTTCGTCCGCGAGAATTGTTATTTTGAGCATACAAATTGGTTTTTGCAAACCCCGTCATCTTTATATACTTAAGCTGTTAGCTAGGACGTCGATCGCGTCTCTTCCCGTCGTTCTTGCAAGCTAATCTTAAAAAATAGACATATAGCGTCGCGGACTTTTTTTAAATTAATTTAAGGAGGAATCATTTTTTCATACACATTTTTTAGGTATCATAAACCGTTTTCGCTGACCGTACGCATCTGAAACCTACGGAGATGAAAAAATTTCCCAGTTTTGTTCACATTTCAACAAACAAACTCTTTCGCTTTATATATTATTATAGATATATAAACATGTTTGGTGACAAAGTAAATTTGGTTGATAATCTTGGTTTATTACCAATGAAATAATCATATTATGGCATAAGGCAGATAAAGGGAAAACAATTCTATTTACTAAAAATCTTATCTGGCTAGATCTTTTCAACGGTTTTCAAGTTTTGTTTATCATTAATAGATAATAGGTTAAAACCACAGAGTTATAGGTAGAACATAATATAACATGTATTTATAGTTTTTAATAATATAAACCACCATAATAGTTCCCAGCAGATTATTATAACAATTATTGATGTCCATTTAATATTAAAACCTGTCGCCAAGCAATGCATTAAGCACGAGAGGTCCTGGTTGCGAGCCTCACTACGTAACAATTGTTTAATTATAAACTAATTTTAATATACAAGTTTGTTTTTGCAATTTATGTAATCTAGTATAAATATTTTTCTATATGCCTCTTTACAAATTACTATGTAAGGGAATTATCTGCCATCTGCTCTCCCCATCAACACTGATAGATTTAATCTTATTTTCCTTCGTCAACTTGGTTAAATGGTGATTGACATTATAAGCTGCTGCTGGCCATAAATGTTCTGGTGTCTCCTTGTATATCAATTTCACTAAATCCATTTCATTCATTTGTTTGTCTGCATTATTTCTGAGTGCTTCTAATATTTGCTCCTCCCTCTGATTCCTGTGTGCTATGTAATATTGAATCTTTTCCATTGGATCCTGCAAGAAATATAATAAAAAGATTAAAGAAATATTAACAAAAAAATTTTAAAGTATAAATTATACCAGTAATTCAAACAAGTGCAAACTTACTCTATCTTATTGCTTTTATATATTTATTTATATATGTAAGTACATAGGCTATTGCCCTAACCAAGGCTTTTATCTACGATCTATGTTTAATTGTCCAAAAAATAATATAGAAGACTGAACGTAGGGTTCACTTAATGAAAGGTAGAACACCCCAGCCATATAGCATCTAAACCTTGTCTACCTATTTATGCTTAGGACATTTAAAGATCTCCAGAATAAGACCAAAATGCAGATGACACTTTAAGGTTTTATCTACTATGGATGATTGTTGTTGAACCAATAGAATTTCTATAGTAGTCATTTTACTAAGCTGCGGACAAACACTTGATTTATATTTAATGAAAAGTAAAATGACCTCAACAACATTTCCATGTCCTGGATAGATGACACTAGGGTTCAACTCCAATATCCTATTTAAACTCTTCATATAGGTGTAAAGGTCTTCAAAAACAGCTGTTCCCTCTCCAAGTATACAATCTCCGCTAAACAAAATATTTTCCTCTTGTAATGTTAGTACCACATGGTCTGTAGTGTGACCAGGTGTATGGTGAATCTTCAGAGTAGCACCTTCCACCTTTATCTCTTGTCCATCGCTCAGCCAGTTAAGAGGGGTAGATGGTAGATCACTATCAGGCGAGTCAGATGTGTCCCTTAGGTGTTTCCATATTTTTGGTTGTTCTGTAAAATAATGGACATCTTAAGTTCTTATATCTCACGATTCTATTACAGTTCTTCTCAGTAAAATGCTGAGTATTTAAAACATATTGTTTACTTACTAGCAATAGTTCCAAATATATTTTCTACACCACCAATATGATCATGGTGCCAATGTGTTACAACTATGTGTTCTATATTTACTTGCTCCGAACTGACTACATCAGATAAGTGCTTTTGATATTCAGGTATGTCTTTATCACCAGTGTCCAAAAGGATTCGACTAAAAAATAATACTGATAATACAGAATAGATAATAGTGTTAAAATACTGATAGGAACGTTCAACTAGTCCAATAAATCGTATAAATAAGCTATTACACAAGTAAATCATATACAAACGAAAGAGATATTTAAATGTATATTTACTTTCTTCCAGTTCCAATCAAGTAGGTGTTGGTACCTTGGAGTGTCATTGGTCCTGGATTGCATCCTAGTATCCTTATGATTCTAGAAGATAATCTAGATACTGCTGGAATTACAGCTGCCATCGCAAGCAATTTTATTGTCTTTAAAATAGTGTTTGTGTGTTGTATATGTTTTTACTGTCCTTTTCCTAAATTTTTTTGTTAAATTTATGAAATCTGATAAAATATCGACCTTTGTACAACTAATGGGCAATAAAAACATAATCTAAGATTAATTGTTATATTCATGTTGACAATTTTTTGTTTTATATGTACAATTAATTTTGAAATAAATATTATCTGTGTCCCTCCATAGATATCAAATGACAACGTCAATGTCAGTCGTGATGCGACATTAAACTTGCATTGCATTTGGTAACAGAAAACATTCATCAATTAACATTGGCCCTTGACAGAAAACTGAAAAATGGCCGGAGTACTGGCGAGAATTGTTCAAGGAACAAAATCTCACCTAGGTGAATTGTTTTGCGTTTAAGCAGTGTTTATTTATCCTCCACAACATTGAGAGTTCAGTGGTTGATTAATTGTGACTGAATAAAATTATTCGGAATATTTTAGTTCGTGGTGCGCAGTTCTGACTTATATAATTTTGACGTATTCAGGTATTGCGGCGCCTCTGGCGACTATTAGCAATGGATCAGTCCGTTTCCAACAAACAGAGAGTCAGGGAAAGACCAAGTTTGGACCGTTGGCAGACAGCGACAGGGTCTTCACTAATCTTTACGGTCGCCATGAGTGGAGATTGAAGGGTGCTATGGCAAGAGGCGACTGGTACATGACTAAAAATATTTTGGAAAAGGGAACTGATTGGATCGTTAGTACGTATGGATCCTCAATTCACCAAATTAAGATTATCAGATACATAAAAGAATGGAAAGGTTTTTTTTTCACTCTATTATGACAATTATTTAAGTGATTGCAATTTGTTGTGTAATTTATAAAACAAACAATGTTAATTTAAAACTGGTTAAATGACTAACAACTAAGGATTATACATTAGGTTTTAGCTGAAATCCTTAGTTTTAAATCTGAAATATGACACAGCACAGTATAAGTAAAATAACTTAATCTGTTTTATTTGGTAATTAGTGCCACAATTTTTAGTCAGTTAAATGGGCCTGTCACAAGGACTGCTGCTAAAGAGTGTTTTATATAATCTTAGTCTGTTGTTATATTGCACTAAATTTATTAGTTGAGATAAGAAATATTGAACCTCCCCTTAAAAGCAGAATTGAATTACAGATGAACTCAAAACATCTGGCCTCCGTGGCCGTGGGGGTGCTGGATTTCCGACAGGCATGAAATGGTCTTTTATGAATAAGCCATCTGATGGCAGACCAAAGTACTTAGTTGTTAATGCTGATGAGGGAGAACCAGGCACATGCAAAGACAGAGAAATCATGCGTCATGATCCCCATAAGTTAGTTGAAGGGTGTTTGATAGCTGGGCGTGCTATGGGAGCACAAGCCGCATACATTTATATTAGAGGAGAATTTTACAATGAAGCCAGTAACTTGCAAGTTGCTATTGCAGAGGTAAATTATTTATACTTAATATTAGTCTTGAATAGATAATTTTTGGGCAAAAATAAAATATTCCTAACTCTGTTTTAAAATATTCACCAAATCCCTGCTTGGTAAAATGCTTGGTATTTAACTCATAATTCTCTCTTCTGACTCACACTTTTGTCAAATAAATAATTATAAATATAATAAAATGTAAATTTTTAAATATTAACATGTGAAAGCACACATGTAAGGTACGAACATTTGTATTTTGTTGTAGTTGAAAAGTCTCTTGTACTTTTATTTTTACATTATCCATATATAATTAACAAAAGAAATTATATACATGTAAGCATATGAGTATAATATTTTTAATTCTATCCTCATAATTTCAGGCTTATCAAGCTGGTTTAATTGGTAAGAATGCTTGTGGTTCTGGCTATGATTTTGATGTGTTTGTCCATCGTGGGGCTGGAGCTTACATCTGCGGTGAGGAGACAGCTCTGATTGAGTCCATAGAGGGTAAACAGGGCAAGCCACGATTGAAGCCTCCATTCCCAGCTGATGTGGGTCTATTTGGTTGTCCCACTACTGTGAACAATGTAGAGACAATTGCTGTAGCGCCTGTAAGTATCTTTTGAAGTCTAATATTGTATATTGGGGCCAGATAGAAGGCAGTGTGAAGATTATCTATTTTATACAAGTTTTGAAGGTACAAGTGTTGTGTGTTAGACATGCTCGTTCCACTCACAGTAGCAACATATGGCTAATATATGTATTGCAAATTCTATAAGGAAGCCGTAGAGTTTAGTCGAGCATTCGATTCCATTAGATTCCTGTAGATTTCCGAATGTCGGAAGCTAAAATATTATAAGGCCAGGGTCATTCACCTTTCATCAAGTGAACTCACGCTTATCTATCCTCTCCCACAAAAAAAGAAGTGTGACTAATTTGTAGAACCAATAAAATCACCTTTGAAAACTACAAGCCGCTGTTCTGCTGTTGTTGTTAAATATAGTCTACTATATTTAATTGTTTTGTAAAATTGAAATAGAGGCTACACATATAACCTCTGCTTACTACACATGACTTTCCTCACCTTGACATTGACCTTTTCTTTCAGACGATATGCCGTCGTGGTGGTCAATGGTTCGCTTCTTTCGGTCGACCACGTAACTCTGGTACGAAACTCTTCAATATCTCAGGCCATGTGAACACACCCTGCACCGTTGAGGAGGAGATGAGTATACCACTTAAGGAGCTTATTGAGCGTCATGCTGGAGGCGTTTGCGGAGGATGGGATAATTTGTTGGCTATCATACCTGGTGGGTCTTCTACCCCACTTATTCCTAAAGAGTGAGTATTAACAAGCAGTCACATGATGTTATTTAAGTTCGGAAAAGTCGAAGTACTTAATACTAGATAAAAAGCCTCAGTTGTATACTATTTAAAAAAAAATTGCCGGGCTCCTTGGTGTAATGTTAACAGTGTATGGCTAATAATCAACGGGTCGTGGGTACGATCCCTATCGGGTCCAATAATTAATTTTCTAATCAATTCATGTATATATTTTTTCGAATATGTTGGACTTCGTCTGGAAGTCTAGATTTTAAATGGATTCTGTCCGGGTCACACTAAAAAAAACCGTGAAGCTTTATTGGGTTTCACTTTCCAAAGCCAAAATAGGTCGACAGTGCATCTTGTTTAGATGTTATATGGCTGAGGTATGTCACGTTCCATCAAGTGTACTTCATGCTTGTCTGTTTCTATTCCATAAAAAAATAAACCTAATAGGATTACTATAAAGTATAGTTGAGACTTGGCTGAAAATATTGTTTCTATTCAACTTTATGTAACATACTTTGAATAAAATTTTCTTATGCATGCATACTTTATTGACTTTATATTATTATTTAATTACGATATTTTAAAATCTTGGATGTTTTTGACTATTTGTAACAATAGCTAATCTTCTAAATATTCTATTTCAGCGTCTGCGAAACAGTGTTAATGGACTTCGACGGTCTGGTAGCGGCCCAGACATCGCTCGGCACAGCCGCCATCATTGTCATGGATAAGTCTACGGATATAGTGAAGGCGATCGCTCGCCTCATCATGTTCTATAAACACGAATCGTGTGGCCAATGCACGCCGTGTCGCGAGGGTGTCTCGTGGATGAACAAGATTATATACAGGTATTTGTTTTAACCAACAGGAAGTATTTGTCAATTTGTCAGACTTGCATTCTGGCCTAGACTGTGTTTTGGGACTTAAATACATAAGATCCGATGGAATGAGTTTTAAATCTTTAAATAACATATTAAATTTACATTTTTTTTAATATGTTGCTGTATTAAATCAGTTGTTAGGTTATCAAGTAATTTATTGTATTTTCTATTAGATATTTTGAACCCAATATGTAGTTTATAATTTTTACAGATTCGTCGAAGGCAACGCGTCGCCAAAGGAAATTGACATGTTATGGGAGATCTCGAAACAGATTGAAGGTAAGAACCACTTAAATATCCGAAATAAGGCTTAGAGTTTTTCAGAAAAGAAAATCCTTTGTTTAGGACTAGATATATTTTATCGTAATATTCATTTTTGGATAACTTAAATCCAAAAATTTAATGCTTATAAGATTAATAAACTGTTATAATTGTAAGTAAAAAAAATCTGCACGGTTGTTCTAGGTCACACAATTTGTGCATTAGGAGACGGTGCGGCATGGCCCGTTCAAGGTCTTATTAGGCATTTTAGACCAGAGTTAGAGAGACGCATGGAAGCGTACTCAATGACCCATGGACCCAGCAAAGCCGAGCGCTTGTACTAGATGTCGCTGTTATAGATTAATCAATAGATGGCGCCTTAATCAAGACAACTCTCAATCACTAGAGGGCGCTTTTGGCAATGTTATTCGTAAATTATTTTCAAGTTATTTTTTTATAATATGTAGTGATTAAAAACAATTTCTCGAAATCTTCTTTTGGATTTGTACACGCCAAGTTTACAAAATCGACAATTAGACAAATCTGTATATAAGAATTTATCATGATTTTGTTGTGATAATATAAAATTTAATTAAATGTACGTGTTTTTTTTGTCCATCATTTTCCTCTACCGATACATATCTCTTCGAATAAAATTGGCTATTATTTCTGTTCCGGAACTTCGCTAATTACCACTATTTGAATCCGTGTTCAAATGGATTATGATAAAAATTAATGTTCCAAAAACATCATCGATACTAGAGGCAATTATGATTTTCCCAGTAATTATTTAACCAGGATATATTTAATGATTACTGTACTCTATTGTTTTAAGACGACCAAATAATACAACTTTGTAATCTTTATGATAAGATATTTGTGTTTCTAGCTCGTTTGAAATTTGAGTATTAGAAGAATTTATATCGTATTTCTTTGTTTAATGACATTATCTTATCTTATCAAAACTGGGTTTCTATTTTCAGCTGATTTCGTGTACTTCCTTTACTTACTGAATATATATATTCTACATAAATTAAATATTTTAAAGGACTTGTTTGAATAATAACGACCCTATTTCAATATCTTTTGTATATATAAGATTTATGGGTTCCACATTGTCAACAGTTCATTGTTATATTTAGTTGAAACTGTCCTTTTGTTTTAATTCGTCCCTCTTATTGTTTGTTCTAATATTGGGATCCTTAAATAGGTACTTGAACTTTCGAAAAATTACTTTAAAGAAATAAACCGAAACGGGTCGACGGCGCGTCTTGTCTAGAATTTATATGCCTTCCATTTCTGTAATATAAAAAAAGTATTGATCCTCATTTGCGTATTGAATTGAGTAGTTCAATTTTTAGTCTCAATCTAGACTTTAAGATGAGGCCCTTGAAATATCAAGCACAGTATGATAGTGGGACCTTGACTTATCAAGGGATTAAGTAAAAGTACGATAGTTTATTTCAATTATTTATTCCCTCTATCATTCTTCCTTTTTTTGATAGTCTTATAATATCTTAGCTCTATTTACAGTTTGTATAAATTAACGTTAACATAGTTTAATTTACAGTAGACTATTATTGTACAGCGCTTTCGCATTGAAAGACTTGACTTTGAAACTTTCAAAACGAAAGTCTCACACGAACCCATCGGCCAGAATAACAAAAGGTCATCGATTTTAACAAAATTGATTAACAAAAAAAATTGATTTCGCAAGACAGAAAACATCCAACACCATGTACCAAACTGAATAATAATTTAATAGGAAACGGTGCCTTCGATCACGACAATAAATTAGATTTAAATTAAATAAATGGCACAGACCAAATTCAACGCGTCGCATTCGGTACGTGGTGGAGCGAATAATACACGTTTTGCGTTAAACCCATTACAATAAACCGAATTCAATAAAATCACAAAGACTGGAAGATACCGATTGTTGCGCAACAAAACTAACTTCTGTAACAACATAATGGCAATCAAGTTATCGCTTAATAACATCGGTGGAGATCACAATATACGATAACTTTAATTTCATATAAATACAAATTATACAACTACGAAACTATCATTATGCGCGACGGCATATCCGTATTGACATGAAACGGTTATATAGGCTGAGGAGTTAATATAATCCGCTGATCGGTTCCGACCTATGCGGAGTTGAATCGTACGAGCGCGTACGAGCTATCAGTCTCACTCATCTGTCATAACGTAAAGACTATTTAACTTAAGTAAAAGCTGGAACGGTAGACACGGTTCGAAGCTTCACTAGATAAATAAGGACGGACACGCGGACCAGCCGCCTCCGCCGTCTGATACAACTAATGTCTCGATGGAGACGTATTTGGCTTGGGATACAACTTACTGAAACACTGACGTGGCGTGGAATTGAACCGACATTTCAGTGAGCGCAGCCGCAAGCTCGCGAACTGTAGGCCGGATTAAGGTTACTGACAGAAACGCCGGGGGGGTTAAGAAAAGTCGACTTTGTATCCCTCTTAAATTTGATTTTCGATCACATCTTTCGCAATTGTGTTGTTGTTGAATTTATTGACTTACATTCTAAACTGAAAATTCATTCCATTAAATTTTTCAATATTAATTACAATTCAAAATTCAATTTTCGAAATGAATTTCCATTACAATGCATCCACGGCGTGTCTGTCCGTAACGTGGCTATTGCGAAAAGATGTTAATGGAACTTGTACCGATGCCAGCACCGGAGGTGGTAGTGTGGGTTACATGCAGTCGTCGTCCAAGTCGACGTCTGGGACGAGCCGATCTTGGGACGCCGCGGCGCGGGGCGGAAGCTCATTTCTAGGATCCCTGGCTAACCACGGGTGCCGGAGGACATCCCGAGCGCTGAGTCTCTCGCAAGCCTCCCTCCGCAGTAGAGAACGTATTAAGCATTTCCCCCTCGACGACAGGCACTCCGGGACCACAAAGTAACCCCGGGATATTTTCGCGAACAAAGACGCATGCTCCGAGTCGTTGAACGGATACCTGGAACAAAAGAGAGCGCTATTAATTTCAGTCGAGACAATTAATATGTCAAATCTCGCAATCAGATAAGCGGATCCCCGCGGCCCCTTCCAAGATAACACTAATTAAAATCGACTAGGATCGTCTGACTTTTTTTCGAGGGCTAATGACGCCGTGATTGTCATTTGCAGTGAAACAAAAACTCAGGTAAGCATTTTAATCTTAGGGTTGTCAACGGAGTTGAACATTGTTATTTGAAGCGAATCATAAATCAAGGTGATTTACAGAATGTCTTGTCCGGTTGTTTGCATCTTTGTGTTAATTGGTACAATATAAAGATTGTTTCATATTTAATTTTAACTTGACAATTACAGATGCTATTATTATAATTGTTGTTTATATAGAATGAATAAATTTAGCGTTGAAGGGACATATTTGGGTTAAACGCTTGGAACGCTGCCTAATGTAAAAATACACATTTAAGTAAACTCATTGTAATAGCACTTATTTACTATAATTTATTGTAATTTTTACCCGGAGTTACACAGTGCACTATTGATTTGTATGTCAGTATAAAATAATTCGTTTTGACATATAAAATAATCTGGCAACCCTAAAGAGAACCCTTCCGGCGACAGGTGAAACTGGCGATTCCGAAATCCCGAGGTTCGAATTTAAATTACTGCTCCGGGATTCGAAAAAAGGAAAACAAAGGATCGGCGAACGGCAGGTGCCCGCAACGTCTTAGCCACATGACCGAGGCAGGTGCGTAGAAGATTTCACGACGTATGTGGGTGATATAATTGGTAGCCGTTGGCGCGTAACGGCCGGCAGGTGATCTCCCAACGGTCTTTGCGACCCTTTGCGATCCCTGAAAACGGTAAGTCCCACGCTCGCGAAGACGCCCACCCCTACTCCGAATTATGCACTGACCCAAATATAATGATCAGGTGCTCAAGTGAAGGCGAGCGTGAACAACTAGATTTGCAATCTGTACGAACTAGTGAGAATGTTAATTGATTATTTATTTATATTAAACGGTTTTATGTTTTTTTAAACGTATACTTGGGAACAAAATTCTCCAGTAGATTTGTTTTATTAGATACATATTACAATTCTTATACTCGGCTTTTAAAGTGTGTTGAACTTATTTGGCATTTTGTTTTCAATTTTATATCTGTCATTTCTTGTTTACACCCAGAATAGAGCCATATTTACAAGTTACAAGTTATATTTACAAGACTTAATATTACTCAAACAGTTAGAAATTTACCTTCCAACGAGCATCGTATATAATATGACCCCCAGTGACCACATATCTGCCGCTTTTCCGGAGTATGTCCGATGAGCCCTCAAGATTTCGGGGGACACATACGCGGGACAGCCTCGCTTGTCTTGAAGCAAATCTTCTTCGGGGTCATCTAGCACCACGGCGTCTTCCAACGATTCTAACTTGAGCGTTGTTCTGAAACAAATGGAGATATACTTTAGTTACGAGTTCCATAAACTAACATAACACGATTTGGTAGTTCACGCGTTGTATGTACGCTACATAATTCTTTGTTTTTGTAATATTACTGTAATTTTTACAGGTGACTTGAGTTTGAAAGGCATCGTTTTAGTAAAATTAAAGTAGCAGTCAGCCAACAACACTTATATACAAAATCGATAATATCCGATGACCTATATAAAACGCGTTATCACACGAACTATTCGGTAATGGATCCTTTGTGCTCCCAAAGGCAATTTATTAATAATTAGTAAAGCATTATTATGTCGGTTGCGAAATTCACATTCTGTACAATAATGTCATGTAAATAATTACATGGCGAACCATAAAATCCGGTGATGCAATACGTTTGTTTCGACAACGGGGGCATTGCAGGCGCGTATTTTGAGTTGCTGCATCGTTTCGAAATGCAGTTAGTGCACAATTCTTTATATCGATGCGAGTACGATGTTTACTACGCTCCGGCAGGTCTTTAGATATTTGAAATATCGTTCTTGTTTGAACTCGTCTGGAAAGACTATGCTTTCAAAGCAAAATTACTGCCATAAAATACTTTTAAATAAAACAAAACGTGATAATTTTTAGTTTCTATTTTTCTAAATTTCTAAATTTTTAACTTATTTGGAAATTATTTTAACTAAGGCCCGGCCGCGGTCTCCACGTGACCAGTTTAACTAATATATATCTCGTTTTAAACCGATAAAGGGTTTTAAATAAATGTGTACTACTCGCGTGAACTACAGACAGTGTTTGAAAAAATACTTGTGCAAAACCTTACTGTTGAATTTAAAAGAAAAATGCTACATCTTGTCTTTATCATAGTTGAAATAATATCTCCATCAATTTGTGTGCAATTATTTCTCATTCCAGGGTAATTGAATATTTTGGGTACAATAAGTAACACTTGAAACTTCCGCACAGTTACTGAGCTCCGAATGTTGGCTCAGATGAACTAATTGCGAACAACCTCACTAATTGATATTTAATTGAAGGGGGAACGTGTTCATTAACATATATATGTCACGATCGTGTATAACTATGTACTATTATGGCTCGATAAAAAGTATCTCACCAAAAATTAATGTTGTCTTCTTCGTAAACAACCAAGAGAACAAGAGTTTATCTTGAATTAAATCATTTCAAGAGATACATGTTCTAGCTAAATATAGACAGTAATAATTACAAAATGTTTCACTTTTAACTCGCGCATTTATAAACCAGGAGATATAATGGCAGGTGGTAGGCGGACCGATGCATTTAAATCGATGTGATGTAGGAATATTTTTAGCTCCTTTACAAATAAGAGGGGGAGTCAAATGTTAAGCTCTATTTCTGAAAATCTTAACGCATCAAATCGAGGGGAAACTTAGTGAACGAAAGCTGGTAGAACAAATTCGGGGCGTTATTATTACATTCAACGTATTTATTTACGAATATTTATTTTCATCAACATAATAAGACAATTTTACTGTTGTATAGTGTGTTACATTCCGATACTTAAAGAGGTATACGTTTATTTATTATCTCAGGTTTCTCGCTTGAGATAAAAAGTTAAAATTGTTGCGCAAAATTTTTTGATATTTGCAAAGCCACTGATTATCACGCTGTTCAAGAAAGCTGGTTATTTCGAGTTAACATTGCAAGAATTGATTATTAATAATTTATTTGTGCATTGCTTATACGATGTCCTTATAGTTATTTTTGCGATAAATATGATTGTCGAGGTTTCATGAAGCTATGACGTAGGTAAAGGTGATCTATTAACATATTTATGAAGCGATCGTGACAATGTAGATCGCCACTTCATCTAAAGGTTAGCCTCGTTAAGACTGTCGCAACATTTGAATCGTGCACCGACGAAAATCTGATGAATTTCAAAATACGGTAATATAAAGACCATCTTCTCTGAATACTTGAAGGAATCTTAAATAAATGACTAATACATTTCGTTGTAAGAAAAGATACTTTAAGTTTAGTCTGGATTAGAATCTAACACCGTTTTTGTTACTAAGTTCACAATTAACCTTCTTAGAAGACAATGATGATTTGTTGTGACCGACTGACGTTATTCTATGGAGGAGGAAATATATGGACGTCAGAAATAAAATAGGACATTAGGCTTTGAATGAAGCAATCGCACTAAAAACTGTAGCAGCCGAGACGTCACAGCCCTTTAGCAGCGGTGAGCGGAGCGGGAGTCCTCGTATCAGTTTTAGGCGTCGACTGCGCAACTGATCCTAATTAAATCCCTTACAGCGGCAAGGCTACAGCGATGTCTGCAGTTGCAATCGATTCGTATATTTCGCAACGTGTAAATAAGTTATACGGTGTCGTAACTCAGTCGGAAGGTTGGCCGGATTTCCGAGCGTGTTCCGAGCCGCTCGCTGCGGCCTCGAAGGATTCTCGGTGGTCGCGACCGCGAAAGGACAGGCCGCTCTTTGGCGCACGCTCCAATAGCCGCGCGTACTTGCGGCCGCAACTTGACACGGGCACAGTGCTAGTCCGCTTCGCCTATCTACGTCTATAGCTACGATATCGTCGTCTCTTTCCAACATTCCACATTTAAATTAAAAATTATAAACCACCAAATACAAAATACCGCGTTCCAATTACAAATAGTGACGTACCATAGACAAGGCAACGCTGAGTCACGTTCGCTTCGCAACAGTTAACGTCGACTTCCACAGATAATCCTAATGTTTTTAATTCATTATATAAGTGTATTGACAGTTGACACATATATGTGGGTGATCGCCCACAATTAGCGGGATGAAACCGCGTTTCGCAACACTATTGCTCAACTCAACCCTGACAGTTTCGTAACAGACAATGGCAGGCGCAGATGCAGCACACATGCTTGCACTTCCTGCTCGAGTATCGCTGACGACTTGCGCAATGACCGGCTATCGGCGCCTGCGCATAACATACTTCTATTGCGCTGTTTTTACTCCAAGACAAATTTAAGTATTTACTTATTTAATTGTATATACATTTTTGTATGTTTTTTGGTGTGGAATAAATTATTTTAAATTAAAATGCACTATGAAAGCAACGGAACGTGGATTCGATCCCCATCGGATCCACCAAAATGTCCCTTCCATCCTATCGTAAAAACTACTTAGTAGCAACGAATACAGTCTGTCTGTATCTTTAATTCCGAGCCCAGCGACTGTTAGTCATAGGTTTTCGTAACCATTGTAGGGACACGTCGTGTCGTAAGCGTTACCACACCGCGGCGCGAGAAGCCGGGATACATTGGGAAACCATCCCGACCATACCCAATTATACAGTCGTGGCGCAATACACTGTAAACTGCTGCGATTGATAACGCCGGTTCTTGAACTAAGCGCCACTGACACGTAGAAATTTGACAGAAAATGTCAGCCGCTTCGTAATTAGTAAAATAAAATAAAACACTAACTAATATATGTATATCGCGTTTTAAACTACTACACGGGGAGTAGTTTAATTAACGTATTATATAAACCGTTTGAACTATTGGTTTATTTAATGAGGTTTATTGTTACAGCTCTTTTTAATTTCTATTGCCGAGCAAGTAGGGGGAAAGATGTACTAACAAATTGAGAATTTAGGTCTCAAAACCGCACAAACATTGGTACAGCCCGTTTTATCGGAGCAACGATAACGCAAGCCGTACGTTTTGAAACCGAGCGCTGGGCCGCCTTGCGAAAACTCTAATGTGAACATCGGTTGCAAAATTGTTTTAGTTTTAAAATCCAATGCAGCGGCGATGGGCCGCGGTGACATTAACCACGTTTCGGTGAGGGGGAGGGGGGTTATCAGAGTCAGACTAGTTTCAAGTTCCATATATATCGACCAGTGATTTATGTAGACGTAAGTATAGCTAAAGAATTGCCCCCCCGGTCGCACGGGCCTTATTTGGCAGCCGGACAACGTGTCACAATGGATTATGAGCCGTTGCGATATGACATGTTGCAAGTTTGGGCGGACGTCCAAACAGAAATACGCCCGTGTTGCAACGGACGCTCAGCACCCGTTGCGCAAATTGCAAGAAGATGGTTATAGATGACGTGAAGCAACTGTGATATTGAGAGGGATCTAGCTACGATTCAGCTGTAAGAAGGTAGACTATTGTGTGGCGTACGAGCTTAGCTCTTGACGAAAAAACGTACACATTAAATACTGCCTGTAGTTTGCGCAAGTAGTACATATTTAAATAAAACTTAAACGGTTTAAAACGCGAACCATATTAGTTAAACTTGTTTTCAAATTATTTTTAACTACGACCCGACATTTTAAGTGCTGCTTTAGTTAACTAATATATCTCGTTTTAAACGTACATATCTACAATTTTCGTAATAATTGGTTCTTCAGCCGCTCGTCTAACCTCTGGTCCAACCGAGCCTCGTTCTGGTTACGCAAAAGAAAGCCCGGAATGCGTTTACGCAAACCGCCGAAACCATCGATCTCGAATCGCAACACCACCGTTACGTGGCCCCTGAATCCGGTGAACGGTCGACTTTCTAACGCGGGGTCGATGCTCGGTGTCGCAACAATTTCTCCGTCGCGAAGAAAGCGCGACCTCCGCGTTTTGCAATCGCACCGCGCGTAACGGAGAAAGACGTAGAAAGCAACTCGATTAACCACTACGGGCTTGCGACAGACCCACCCCCCAATAGAAAATTCAAACTCTATCCACTGGATTTAATAGTTGTCGGGCGGGTGAGACTACTTACTAAAACAGACTCAGAAGTGTGTTCAGCCAACGTGCTAGTGACAGATGCACTAAGCTGTCCAATAATATGTAATATAAGTGACACAGACTATGTTTAGTTTTTTCGACGATACCTAGTTTTGTTTACATCAAAATAGTTAAGTTGCCACCTCGGAGTAACCTTATTGCCAGTCAATATTGGGCAAGTTACGCAAGTGATAAACGTGTCGTACCAGAAAACTGCCGTTCGTTGACTTTA